AGATCTGGCATGCATCACCATTTTCAGTAGAGCCAGCGCTGAGATTTTGCAGTATTTAAAGTAATGGTGACTACAAAATAAAAGCATGATTTGAAAAACTAAACATTCTTGATTATCTTAAGTTTAGTGAAGACAGTAAGTATTGAAGGAATTTACAGTGATGGAAAGGAGAGAAAGTGTCTACAATGTAGAAACAACCGTATGTGCATTGTTTTGTAAAGTGGTCCCCCTTTTTATTATACTATTCAAGTAAAAAGGAGAGAATAAAACAGTTGAATAATTGCAACTGGTTCTCCCTGGCCCTTAAAGGAAGTTACTGAGATATTGTGATTTATAATACTGTTAATGGTAGTATCATGCACACATCATTTCAACTGCACACCCACCACCAGGGCACTGACTTCCCAGTTTCCACCACCATGGTCCCAAATGCCCTTCCAGTCTGCCACAGCCCTTTCCTCACATGCCTCTACCACCCAAACTAAATTCTGTGGACCAAATCTATAGTTCTGTTGCCTTCAGCCACTTTTTTCTCCCTTAAGCCTGGCAAGCTACCGAGAGTATCCAGCCCGCACGCCAAAGCCTGGCAAGCTACCTATAACGTATTCGATATGCCAAACACAGTAACAAGTCTCACAATGGAGACGTTACTGGGCCCGCTTGAGCAAATCGATGAACAATGGGAAGACAGTGACAATGACTGTGTCTTTAGGTCCCATATATGCCATCATTCTGTGTTCATGACTATTCTTGGGCCGAACCAGGCCTCATGATAAAGAACCTGGGCTCTGATATCCATGGCTGGCTTTCAATCCTTGCGTTGCTATGACATAAGCAACAGTCTTGAGATAACTACTTAAAGTTTGGGCCTCAATTAATTTATATGTAAATAGGGATATTTCACAGAGCTCTTAGGAAGAAATAAATGAAATAATGAATATTAAGTGTCTAGCTTTAGTGTCTATTACTATTTTTTTTTGTCATTTGTTTTGTTTTGGGGCTACACCCAGAGATACTCAGGGGTTACTCCTGACTCTGCATCCAGGAATTACTCCTGGTTTGCTTAGGGAACCATATGAGATGCTGAAGATCCAATCTGGGCCTGCTGCATGCAAGGCAAGCGACCTAACTGCTGTACTATCTCTTTGGCCCCGTTATTTATTACTTACTTAAAAAAGAATACTGTCCAAGAACTGTGTTCTTGGTTTGTTTGTTTTGGGGCCACACTGAGAGTGCTCAAAGCTTATTCCTGGTTCTTTGCTCAGGGATCACTGCTGACAGCTTAGGGAAATTATATGGGGTCCTGGGGAGTGAACCCAGGTCAGCTGTGTGTGAGGTGTCATACCTGTTGGCTTATCTCTCTGATCCTCTCCCTCAAGAATAGTGTTCTCTCTGTAGTATCAAAATTGGAAATGTTACCCTAGTACCTTTATTTCAACTATGGTGATTCAGAGTTTGTCATCAATGGGTGTGACAAAACTAATGTTAAAAATTTTCCATTTCACTGATGCAAACCAAGGCAGCTGGGATGAATCTAATTAAGAGCCACAATCAGTAAATGAGGCAGGCTGACAGTTGCCAAACATTTCCTAGAATACATCAATTTAAAATGTAGTCTTTTACAGAAGCAGAAAACAAGGTCAACTAAACCATATATAGGGTAGAGAATGTATTCTTAAAAGCCTTTTTGGTAAAAATATTCTTATAAATTTCAATCATAACTGAAAAATATGGAGAACTGGTCTTGAAATAAATTAAGACCACAAGGAGTGCTCCCTTAACAAGGGGCAGGCATGAGCCCTCAGCCCTATCGATGTGGGCCCCAAATAAAAAACAAAAACCAAAACCAAAAAACAAAGAAAAGGACATGTGGAAAATCCCTAGCTCAGGCTCAGCCCACATTAAGTATCCAAAAAGCACTCCCAAATCTAAATGTGGGCAATTAAAATTTGCCTTGTAAACAATGGTAAGTCAGATAAGTATGGGCTTATTGTGTATCATCACTCCTTTCAATCCGTGAGACTCTGCTTTTCACTCGTTCCCAGATCGAATCTGCTCTTATGAAAGGACAAAAATGCTGTGGGTAAAAAGATATCCTTTGCTCAGATCATGACCTCTTGGTTCTATTGATATAATTTCTATCTCACTTGGCAGACTGGATGGACCTCCGAGTGCCTCTGAAATCACACACACACGCACACTCACACACACACAGATTTACACTCTGGGGTTCACTTAATTTCTGAAAACAGAAGCAGTTTTCATTTCGGGAGGACCCCCAACAGGTGTTAAATCTCCAACAGAGTTCAAGACAGAGTGTGGCATCTATGACAATATGGTCTTTGAGAAATGACACCCCCTGTTCTATACCCTCCAGAAGGAAAAGACAGATGGCGAATTGAACGCAAGCCTCCAGTGAGGATAAAAAAGTAGCGCCCCTAAATCCCAAATCCCTGGGGCGCTACTTCTTTCTCCACCCATCCTAAGAGAAAAAAAAAAAAACTAGCTCTCCAAGCCCTTCAACTCCCATCCTCCGAGCCACTCATTAACTCCTGCCACGCCTCCCCTCCCCCGCGTCTCGCCAGGGACCTCCTCACTCCTTAGTCCAGGGCTTGGCCGCTAGGATTTCCTGCTGCTGCTTCTTGTCGTATTTGTAGATTTCATCGATGCTCTGGGCTTCCTGCATGTTGTTGGCCAATTCCCAGGTTTTCTGGGCCATCCCACTCCCGGACGCCGCCATCGCCGAGGAATCGGAGAAATCGTTGCCCCCAAAACCTCAGGCGCAACTTGAGCCCACTGGGTCTCCGGGTGTGGGCTCGCGAGCCTGCCCACCGCAGGTGTACACCCGAACTAGACTCCCGAGGCGGCCATGACACCCAGAACCGGAGGTGAAGTTGGTGCAGACCATTCAGGGACGGCGCGGGGGTGTGCCGTTCGCAAACGCGACACCGTAAACGGCTTCCAGTAACGGCTTAGACCCGGGGGAATCTCTTTCTGGCCGATGTTGAGGCCCCGATATCCAGGACTATGAAGTGTGCGAATTCGGGCGAACCGCAGTGAGGTGACGGAATGGTATCGTCTTCTGCGCCGGAAGGAGGCGCGTGACGGCGTGCCAGGGAGCGTAAAGGGCTTCATTTGTCGGCACTGCGCAGGCTCGGCCTCTGCCATATTGAACTGTGGAGGGTGGGGGTGGTGCGGCGTTGGTCCGAGTCGGGGAGAAACTTTTTATGTTGGTGTAGGCGCACTAGGTAAAATAAGACCTCCTCTCCCATCCCCATTCTCCCCGAAAACAAGGATGCCTCTGGGAAATTCGATTTAGTAGTAGTTTCTGGATGGTGATTGAAAAGGCTAAACATGGCATCCTAGTTGGCTTCCAAAAGATTCATGGCTCATGCGTAAAGTCCTGCGGGCTGGCGTTTACGTTTACTTTTTACGTTTTGTGAGGGGCGTTCTCTAGCGTTCGGAAGAGGCTACGGGACTTTCGTGTTTATAGTAAATGGCATCGATATGAACTGTATTTTGATACTTTACAGTTCAGTCTTAGGCATTGCCCCCTGGAGCCACCTCTACCCGCAGGGCTGAATTAATTTTAGCAGCCCTGTTTTCTCCCACATTGTTAACGCTGTTTTTGGTACTCTCGTCTGTTACCCCGCGCGGTGTGCTAAGTTAATTCCAAATCACAGGTACCAAATGTTTGTTTCCCTAAAACCTAGCTTAGATGTTGGGCGCATTTTGGAGGTGAAGGGAAGATAACAATAGTTCTTCATAGCCTTGCAGGTCGGTACCGACTTGCCAGGCTCATCTTTTTTTAATCACCGTAAAACTTCCTTTGGCCTTGCCTAAATTCGTCCCCATCCCCCATCTCCTGTTAGTCCATAAAACCAGTTTAGAGAGCTTTATATGAAACTAACTGCTCTCCCTAGTGATTATTCCTTTCACCAGTATCTGTAGGTGCTTCTGTAACTGTTGCACTGCAGTAATATGTCAACTTTAAAGGTTATTTTACTCTGTCAGCAGTTCCGTTCATTTTGAGTGTTGTCCTTCATTTCCAGTATGATGTGTTGCACATAGCTAAAAGCATTAGAATCAGCCAGTTCACACTCCCTCATCTGTGGTTGTTGTTGTTTGGTCACATCTGGCAATGCTCAGGGGTTACTCCTGGCTCTGCGCTCAGGAATTACTCCTGGCAGTGCTTGGGGGACCATAAGGGATGCTGGGGATAGAACCCGAGTCGACTGAGTGCAAAGCAAACGCCCTACCGGCTGTACTATTGCTCCGACCTCTCATCTGTGGTTTTGACGTTTATTTTCCATTGATAATTTGCTTTAATCCTTCTTACAAAGTAATTAGGGAAAGGACTTACAGTTTCACTCGTCAGGAAAGCCAGAAGACCCTTTCTAATGGTAGCTAATGTATGTATTTCTAATGGTTTTTCAGTATTGGAGTGGACTAAATGATTTGTTGAAATTGGCAAGAAAAGCCCAGGACAAAACTTTACCCAGACTCTAGGGGGAAATAGGAATGCCCTGGACATGTATGCTGATTTTCCTTTTTCACTTTTTGGAGCCACACCGTGCGCTTGCTCAGGGCTAACTCCTAGCTTTGTGTTCAGAGATCCCTCCTGGCGGTGCTGGAACACTATATGTAGTGCCAAGGGACCCATTCCATGCAAGATAGTCCCATAAGCCCTTTACTATCACTGCCCCTATGCTGTCACTGTTAGCCGTCTCCGTTTCTTCCAAGTCTCTGACCCTGTTCTGCTGGGGCTCGCAAGGTTTAGTAGGATTGAATCGGTTTAACCAGGGAATTATCCTGGACGCCTCACCAGCTCCCTGGAGGATCAGAACTTGGTGGTCCCTTACCCACCCTCCTAAGTATCTCCAGCCGGGCAAGGCGCCCAGTTGGTTGTGCGGCCTCCGGGGCGGCAGGGGGCGCGATGGGCCGCGCGGTCTCCCGCCGACCGTCTCCCGCGGCCCTCGAGTGGGGGCGGAGCTGCGCTTGGCGGTTGGCGCGGGGCGAGCGGAGGGCTCGGCCTCAGAGGTGGAGCCGGGACGGGCAGGCTTGTCACACGGCTTCCTAGCGGAGCGGCCGCCGCCACCGCTTTCAGCTGCGACTAGTCTTGCTAGGACGCAGTGTGGCGCCGCAGACTCGAGCCTGCTCTCCCGAGTAAGCGTTCGGCGGCGGCGGCGGCGGCTGGGGAGCAGGCTGGCGGGGTGTCCCCGGGCCGGGTGCGCGGCCCCGGACTGCGGCGGGGACTCCGGGATGGGGTGAGGGGGCGTCTCGCGGCCGGCAGGCTTACGGGGTTCCCAGCCCGGTGGGTCTCGCGGCCTCCGGGTGGGAGGAACATTTCCCTGCGGGGGGGGGCGGGGTTTGTGGGTGGTGGTTGGTGGCGGATTTTAGCGGCGGGGGCTCCCCGTGGGTGGGCGGGGGGGGGGGTCGTGCTGAGGGGGTGGCTGGCCCGCGGGGAGTGCCCTGGGGACGGGGTTTGGACTCTCCTGGCCGCAGCGGCAGTCGCCGCCTCGGGTGCTGTGGAGACCTCGGTTGCCAGACAACGCGCTGACGCTTCCGAACTCGGCTGCCACCCACGGCGCCGGAGCGGAGCGGGGCCGCGTCCCCGCCCCGCCTCCCGCCCGCTCGCCCTCCCCCGCGGCGCGCTTGCTGAGCCGGCCCGGCTGTTCCCTCTCACTTGGGTCTAGCTAATGATTAACGCTGGCTTCGGAACCCACCGCCGGTCCCGGAGTTTTTGCTTTGCAAGTCAGATTTAATCGCCCCATGTGGTCGGATGCTGTTACTCTCCGATGGCTCTTTGATTTTAGGATCGTTAACTGAGATTTGAGTCTAGGTTACAGTAGTGCTGGTGATGGGACGCAGCTTTGGGGAAAGGCTGGATCTCAAGAATATAGGATGAATAGTTTGCTTTGGATTTCGGGGACACCATTCTCTTTATTTAAAAACTTTCGGGGCTTGGGCGGTGGGGGGGGGGGCTGTTGAGGGACTCCGAAGCTGCGCTTAGGGGATACTTCCGGAGATCTTGTCCTTTGGAGTTGGTTCAGAGGATACGGATACTCCCTCAAGAACTGCAGTGCCAGGGACCACCAGGGCCACTCTAAGCGGTGCAGGGAGCGAACTGGCCACGCTGAACCCTTACATCTGGAGGTCCTGGGGGTGCAGTGTTGTTCCTGGGAACTAACGGAGTACATCTTATTTAAACCCTGTGCTATCCGGCCCTTTTAGATTTTAGCAGAGCCATTGTTCAACGATCCAATAAGTGAGGTACATTGTGGCAAAAATAAGGATGTGACCATAGATTATGTTATCAGAACATTAATCTTATCTCTTTTACTGCTTACTTTGTTAATGTAGAGGGCTGTTTTTGAGATACATTGTTGCAATAATGCTTTTTAGTAATACAATCTATTTAAGGTACGTTGTTGCAAAGTAAGGATATAACTATAGATTATGTCATCAGCACATTTGTTAATCCTATCCCTTTACTGCTTAGTTTGTTAATGTTGTAGAGTTAGGTATAGTGATACTACTAACGGTAGTACCTCCTTTTGATGGTCTTTTGATGGTACAATTGCCTTTAAAATAAAAATTTTAAGATTTTGGAGTAGTTCTAAAGTAGACCACCGTTTGGTTTTCAAACACCTCAGAAAATGCAAGAGTCTAATATAACTAATATGAGTTTGCAAAATATAAGTTCACTTCATATGACAAAAGACATACTGACAGCAAAACGAAATTCTATGGAAATCAGTAAGATTCTGGTGACTTTTCTGTAAGTCTTTCTTAGAGGACCTTGACTTGTAGTTAACTAACTATTGAAATGCTCCCTCAGGATAAAGGTTATTTTTGGACCTTCAGCATAGGAGAAGAGCTATTTTTGGTAGTGATTTGAAAGAGGAAAATTTTAGTTGTTTTTTAAAAAAAATGTTGTCAGATGTGACTAAACAAACTCAGAGCAGACTTTTATTGGATGAGGGGCGGGCAAGGTGGGTGCACACTTGGTTGTGCTGTCTGGCAAATGGAACCTGGCTCTCCCGCTTGTAAAGCATGTGACTCCTGCCTTGGAGCCATTTCTCCAGCCCTCAGATAGTCTTTTAAATGTTCTGACTTTTGATTGCTTTTTTTTTTTTTTTGTTAGCCACATTTGGCAGTGCTCAGGACTTATTTCTGACTCTGTGCTTGGGGGACTATGGGGTGCCAGGGATCAAACCTGGGCTGACTGTATATAAGGCAGACACCCTTCCTGCTGTACTATCTCACCATAACCCTGCCAATACGGGCTGTTTCCAGACTCTAGATATGTGCCTTTCTCACAGGCATGAGATGATGTCTCATTGTTTTGAATTGCATTTCCCTAATCATGTGTGACAATTAGCACTTTTCCAAATGCCTGTTGGCCATCCACTTTTGGGAAAGTGTCTGTTCATCTCCTTGTCCCATTTATGGATGGGGTTGTTGGTTTTGTTTTGTTTTGTTTTTGTGAGTGCTTTATAGTCATTTATAGATCTTGGATACCAATGCTTTTCTGTTGTATTGTGTGAAGATACTTTCTCCCTTTCTGTAGGGTGTCTTTCATTTAGAATGTGAGTTCCTTTTTCTTTTTCTTTTGGGCTACACCCTTAGGGGACCATATGGAATACCAACCAGATGGCTGCATGCAAGGCCAATGCCCTGTTTGCTGTACTATTTGCTGTGGCTGGTAGAGTATATATATATATTTTTTTTTTTCTTTTGCAGTGCAGATTTTTAATTTAATGTAGCCTATTTGTTTTTGTTGCTTCATCACTGTGGTCATCTCATTGAAGACTCCTCTGTAGTTATTTTCATGGAAAGTTATGCCAATGATTTTTTTCCCAGTGTATATTATTGATTCTGGACTAATCTTGAGGTTTTTTTAAATACATATCCACTTAGTTTGCTTTTGTGAATGGTGTGAGCTATGGTTCTCACTTGATTTTTTTTTACATGTGGCTATCCAATTCTCCCATCACCATATGTTCAGGAGATTTTTCTATGCTTTAGGTAGGGTGTTTGCCTTGCACGCGGATGTCCAGGTTCGATTCCTCCGTCTTGGAGAACCTGGCAAGCTATCGAGAGTATCTCGCCCACACGGCAAAGCCTGGCAAGCTAACCGTGATGTATTCGATATGCCAAACACAGTAACAAGTCTCACAATGATGACGTTACTGGTGCCCACTCGAGCAAAATTGATGAACAATGGGAGGATAGTGCTACGGTGCTAGTTTATATATTTAGCTTCTTTATCATAAATTAGCTGCCCATAAATCTAGGGGCTTAATTTAGGACTCTCAATTCGGTTCCATTGTTGTGCAGGTCAATATTTATTTCAGTATTATGCAATTTTGATTATTATTGTTTTGTAGTAAAATTCAAAGTTGGCAAATGCAATGCCTCCCATCCTTGCTACCCCCCATTCCTTACAATTGCTTGGACAATTTGGGGGAGTTTTATAGTTCCATACAAATTTTAGTAGTTTTTCCATATCTTTGAAAAAAGTCATTACGTAGATATTGTAGTGAATCTTTGGGTAGGAAGGTCAGAAAATTGTTTGCTTGATACCTCCACTAGATCCTTTATGAGTACTTCCCTTTTATTCCTAATTCCTTTCGACTAGAGTATGAGACATTTTGACAGTGGCGTTATCTAAATTCTAGGGTAAAGATCACAGCTTACATTTTGCATCCTCTAACATCTAGAATAATGTGTGACTTTTAGTAGGTGACTTATTTTTTATTCTTCAAGCTTTCATTGGGAAATAAATTTGCACTGCCCTCTTTCTGTTGTTGTTTGTTTTTTGGGCCACATCCAGTGATGCTCAGGAGTTATTCCTGGCTCTGAGCTTAGGAATTACTCCTGGTAGGAGGTGTGTGTGTGGGGGGGGTGGGGACACACTTTCATTGGAAAGCAGACGGGACCCAGGTCAGCTGCATGCAAGGCAAGTGTGGCTCTCTTATATATCTCATATATATATATATATATATTAGATATTTCACAGATACTCTGTAGCTATCTCTTCAGCCCCAATTACACTCCTGAAGGAACAAGATGGGAACAACCTGCGTGCAAGGCAAATGCCTTACCCTGTGAACTATCTGTCTGGCCCCAAGTACTATAATTCTGAAGGAAAAAGATGAGAGCAACATCTTTTTTTCTCTTTGTGATTGATAAAATTGGGAGGGGAAATTTGACATATTTCTGGGTTTTCTCTCTCTTTTTAGACTGGCCTAGCAGAATGATTCTGTTCTATATATTTATATCTATGTATGTTGAGCTTAAAAGGGTTAAAATTAGGGTTTAACGATATTGTAGGTTATGACAGCCATGTATCAATTACTGTTGATTATAGCTCAGTATACTTGGGGGCTTTAACAACAATAGCACGAAGGATGAATTGCTGAGTGATTTATAAAATGGTTATAGAAATATGAATTAATAGATCAGTTTGATTTTTTTAGTTTTAGTTTCTATCAATGTGTCACTTAATGCATTTTAATTTTATAATCTAATTTCCATTTTTCTGTAGCACTGTAGCAATTGTTCATTGATTTGCTCAAGCGGGCACCAGTAACGTCTCCATTGTGAGACTTGTTACTGTTTTTGGCATGTTGAATATGCCATGGGGAGCTTGCCAGGCTCTGCCATGCAGGCAGGATACTCTTGGTAGCTTGCTCGGCTAACCGAGAGGGATGGAAGAATCGAACCTGGGTCGGCCACATGCAAGGCAAACGCCTTACCCACTGTACTATCGTTCCGGCCCTCCACTTTTCTAGATAATGAAATTGAAGAATAGAGAATTAAACATTTTGAATTCAGTTACATAGCGATGAAATTAGATTTGAAATTAATTCTTTCAGTGAAATAGATTTTCTTACCATTGTTTATCCTCTATGTCCAGATGGATAGTACAGTGAATAAGGCACTTGCCTTGCATTGCAGCTGACTCAGATTCCATCCTTACCATCCTACATTGTCCCCTGAGCATGCCAGGAGTAAGCCCTGAGCGCACCACTGAGTATGCCCCAAAACCGAAAAACTTTGTCTTCTATATACATTTGCACAGCTATTGGAAGCAAAAACTGGTAATAATACAGTGATAAAAGATTGTGAGTGAGAAATAAGAATCCTGTTTTAGGGGTCTAGATAAATAACCCATTGGTAAAACGTCTTTATGTTTATGAACCCTTGTCTGGTTTTTTTCTCTGGCAGCATAAAGGCCTTCCCGTTGATCGTCGATTTGCTCGAGCGGGCCCAGTAACGTCTCCATTGGAGACTTTGTTGTTACTGTGTCTGGCATATGTCTGGCAGCATATTAAAAAAAAATGGAATCCCATTTATGCTTTTTCAATTTTTCTTGTATTTTAATAATTATAAACTTTCTTACTGTATTTTACACTTAGGCTGCATCTATTGTTTGGTTTCTTTGATTCATTAAGTAATTCTTGAATTATTTTGTAGTTGAGAAATATTTTATATAGTGACTCGCGTTAAGGAATGAGAAAGAGAAAAATAGCTAGGACAGCTCGAAGACTTGCTTTGTACTGTTACCAAGATCTTGTTGCTAGGGAGTGGACTGATACTATTGCTTAGGCTCCAAGTTCTTCTGTTGGAGATAAACAATTGCACAGAATATCAACATCAGATAAGACTGCTCTGTGTCCATGGATTAAGAGGAAGAACAAAACCACTTCATAATAATGTCTGAAAACAGCCATGAGTGTTGTCCAAGCCACAAAAATCCCCTTTCAGTTGATATGAGTGATTATTGCTTTTTACCAGTTGCAGCTTTTAGCCTTATCCTATAGGTAAGATTTCCTAAACTGTCCAGTCATAGAATTATCTTCACTTCCTACAGTATCTGATCTTGAGCAAAAATCAGCCCTTAAACGCTCCCCTGGATTCCTTAAGACAAGCAGAAATCCCCTAAGTCTTTTCTAAAACTTTTTAACTAAAACACTCTCTGGAGATCTCTATGGTGAATATTGATGCACTTCAATGCAATGAGGAATAAATTCATCTCTTTAAACTATAGTGGTGTTCTTGGTCATATTTGTCTTGGATCTATGCCAGGAGAAAGGTTATTAATGTCTTTGATTTAAACGTAATGTTGAGATATTTTTTATCTGGTTAAATAGCACAAAATTAGAAATTATGCATCTGATAAATCTAATGTTTTATTGATGACACACAGATAGTATCTGTCACTTTAAAATGTGCTTGTATTTTGTGCTTATGAGAAGTCAATTCTAGAATTTTATTTATTTACCTTTTTGGCTTTCTTTGGGCCACACCTGGCGATGCTCAGAGATGACTCTGGGCTCTGCACTCAGGATTTACTCCTGGTGGTGCTTGGGGGACCATATGGGATGCTGGGGATTGAACGTGAGTTAGCTGCATGCAAGGCAGGAGTCCTATCCGCTGTGATACTGCTCTGATCCCCAATTCTAGGATTTTAAATTGTTAACAAAAGAAAATATTTGGGCAAGGAGATAGATTAAGAGGGCCCAGGTTTGAGTCCCAGCACCACATGGTCGCCTGAGCATCACTGGATATGGTCTTCAGTTCCCCCCCGCACAACTGTGGTGGCGCTGACATCCCTGTCATTGCTGGGCCTGAGCCTACAGAATTGCATCCTCTGACTCTTGCATTGACTCACAGGCCTGGTTGGCTGAGAATCACTAGTGGACCATTCCCATCCCCCAAGAAAAATGGCTGGCATCCCCCTCCCCCGCCCCCCGTCACCCTATATAAATACTAAGTAAATTAAAGGTATTAGAACTAAAACCATAAGATACAGCAATGAAAGCAAGCAAAACACTCACATGCCAATAGCTCAGTGGTGTCATTGGCGATTTGCCTCCATCAGCAAGAGAAAAACGGGGCTGAATAGTACACCTGTAGAGTGATTGTCTAGTACATGGTTGACCCAGGTTAGATCCTCAGCATATCACATATGGTACCCAAGGCTTCCCAGGAGTAAGCCCTGTGCATCATTGGGTGTGACCCAAAAGCAATGAACCAGAAAAGAAAACAAAATGTTTTATTAAATAGATATGTTAGACAAAGTTTTTATTTCCTAATCTTTAAAGCCAAAGCATAAGTTTTGTAGTTGATAATGTCATTGAAATAGCACAAACTAAAAAAAGTATTAAACTAATTTATCTTTGGAAACAATGTTTTCTCATATGTACTATGCTGTATAATCTTTAATCTGTCTTGGGAATTACATTTCTATAAACAGATGTATAGTGCTAGTTTGAATCATCTCTAAAAAGTGTACATACATTTGCAAAACAATAGAAACACGCAGTCAAATAACTCTAGATCCTTACTCTACATAAAAAGCTTACTATCTCTTTAATTCATATCCTCATTGTATATGTGTCAGAGATCATAATTTTGTCACTGAGCATAAACTTTACAGTTCAGAAACCAGTATCAAAAATGAATTAAAAATATTTGATAATCAACTTACTATAAGTTGATAATCAATCACAAAAACAAATCATCCTGTTAATCGTCGATTGCCTTGAGCAGATCCCAGTAACGTCTCCTTCATCCTAGCCCTGAGATTATATTCAAGGCTCTTTAGGAGAATGAGACCCATCATTGTTACTGGTATCTTACATATTGGGTACGCCACAGGGAGTTTGCCAGACTCTGCCGTGTGGGCAGGCTACATTCAGTAGCCTGCCAGTTTGTCCAAAGTAGGAATGAGATAATAAGATGTCATTACAGGATGTCGCGCAGCCGCAGGAGACTGCACTGTTCTCTTCCGGGAGCTGGGCTTTTTAGTCTCTGGGTCTTGGCCGTTGATGGGATTACATGGCACCAGGGGGCCAGTTGGTGGGTGTGACCCCCACCTACTGGAAGTTGGAGGATCTGGGTGGAGAATGCTCGGCCCAAATCCGAGTAGGCTTGGAGATCTCGGCCCCGGAACCCGTGTGGCTTTGTCCCTCTACCAGTACCTTCATGTGTGCGGAGAGTGGTCTCAGCATGGTGGTGGCTGGTCCTGGAGGTCTTTGGCTGCCGGATCAACAAAATATTTAATAATCAACTTACTATTCAAAAAGAAATGTAATGGTACAACTTATAGACTCCACAGAATTTTGAAGCATTCAAATATGGAAAATACTATCTTCTGTTTGCGTTTAGGAGTCCTATATGGACCCCTGTGCCCAGCAGGAGTGATCCCTGTGTGTAGAGCCTGGAGTAGCCCCGAACATAACAGGGTGTGCCCAATATCCCCCCCCCCCCCGCAATAAAAAAGAAATATAAAATGGAATTATATCAAACCAAAAGCCTTGCAGTGAAATAAATTTATTAAAACAGAAAGATATCTGAACTGGAAAGATAGGACAGTGGGTAAGGTACTTACCTTGTACTTGGCTGGACCGGGTTCAATCCCCAGCACCACATACAGTCTCCTAAACCTCACCAGGTGTCATCACTGAACACAGAGCCAGGAGTAACCCCTGAATATCACTCAGTGTGACCCCAAAAAACAAAGATATCCTATGGTATAGAATCATATCTGATATCAAACATCTGACAAAGGCTAATACCCTGGGAACATAAAAAACTCATAAAATTCAATATAAAACAATCCCATAAAAAAAACCTGAGTGGATGCTTAATGAAAGACATGCCCAAAATTCTTTTGAAGAAAAAAAGCTGATAACTTATGAAGAAGATGCAAATAAAAACAATGATATAACCTCTCACATCTATGAAAATGGCCTATGTAAAAAAGGGCAAGGAACAGTAAATGCTAATAGAAATGTATTATGTATGGTCCTCTATGGAAAACACTATGGAGATTTCTCAAGAAATAAAAATTAGAGCTACCATATCACCCAGTAGTCCCATCCTTTAGATATCCAGAGAGTACAAACAAAAACACCAGTTCGGGGCTAGAGCAAGAGCACAGCAGGTAGGGCATTTGTCTTGCATGCGGCCAATCCGGGTTCAATTCCCAACATCCCATATGGTCCCCTGAGCACTGCCTGATTCCTGAGTGCAGAGCCAGGAGGAATCCCTGTGCATAGCCTGGTGTGACCTAAAAAAACCAAAAAAAAAAGAAAAAAACCCCCACCAATTAAAAAAGATAAATCACACACCAAGATCTAGAAACAATCAAGTGCCCAATGACAGACGAATGGATAAAGATATTCATATAGTGATATGTACTATTCAGCTATAAGAAATTATGAAATCCTGTTGCTACAACATGAATGGAACTCAAATGAGGTTCAGGGCTGGTGTCATGCCAAGTGAAATAGGGGAAAGACAAGTTCTAGATAATTGCAATCAAATGTGTATAAAGAAAAAAAACAAGGAAATAGATATGTCTATCTGGATGTTTGGAGATATATACATACATATCTCCAAATGACTAAGAAAAGGTATTCCCCCTTTAAAAAAAATACTTTGACAGGATCTTAGATTTTTTTAATTTTTGGGATGAGTTGTGGTTCATTTTTATTCTTTTGAGGTATGTAATAGGTACAGGAAGTGTGGGAATAAACAAATAAGTCTTGTTTGGAGTTCTTAGTTTGATAAGCATATTCAGTGAAGCTTGCTTGAAGTTTTCAATTTGATGAATATAAACTGAGTTTTCAGGTTAATTGCCTCCAGTATTGTGTTCATTGAATTTTTTTTTTGTTTTGCTTTTTTTCAGTTCTTGCAAAATGGCTGAAAATTTGGATGAATTTATTAAAGAGCGAAAAGCCAAATTGGCCAAAGACAGAGCAGAGTTGGAACGTGATCCACCTTATATGGAAATGAAGGTAAAATCAATTTTCTTCTAATAGATTTCATTAAAATTTTGCAGTTTATCCTGTGTAAGTGCAAGGTATCTTCTTGAGTTAAGAATCTTGTATTTTATATTTTAATCTGGCCATTTTGTCATTCTGACTCTGAAAGACTAACTCTGGGCTGCTTTTTCATATGCTTTATGAGAAGGTTCAATGAATCAGTGAGATAAAATTCTTTAGCAATATATGAAAAAATGAATTAGAGTAGTTTCTTTTGTTTGAGTTTAGTGTATACATTTCAAAAACTGTTTCTTAAAGTATTGTCGCAAACAGGAAGATTAGAGCTTCTCTAGATTTGATGAAACTAATCTAGACAGAGGTGGCTAGGGTATAGATTGATCTATGCCATATGCATATGTTCTGTTCTTTTTTTATTTTTTTGGCTTTTTGGGTCACACCTGGCGATGCACAGGGGTTATTCCTGGCTCTGCACTCAGAGATTACTCCTGGGCTTCTCAGAACACCATATGGAATGCTGGGGATCGAACCTGGGTCGGCTGCGTGCAAGGCAAATGCCCTGCTGTACTTTCGCTTCAGCCCTCATATGTCCGTTCTAAGAAGAATACTCATTTATATTGATTTTTCCAAGATAATTTTGGTTTACCTCTTGATTTAGTACAAACTTATATGGCCTATCACCTACTTTTCAGGAAAAATAGTTACTTTGCAAAGTCCTGGGAGCCTGCCTTTAAGTGAGGAAGTAGAAAGAGCTACCTGAAGTTACACCAGAAGCCACTGTTGCTCTCCAGATTATTTCAGTACACACCCTACACAACTGCAGGTGGTATTTCCCACTTTGGGAAAGTAGCTCATTAGGCTTGGCATTTGCTCTTGACAAAGATATCCTCCTTGGATGATAAATAATATGAACATATTAACTATTAAAAAATATACATATAAAAATATATGTATGACTAATATTGTATACAAAAACATGATTAAGAAATTACATTTATTTTGTCTTTGGGGGGCGTACATATACGTATATAATGTACATATACATGTATATAATTCTGATATTAAGTAGTGAATGAGTAGTTATTTTTTTCTTAGTTCAAGTATTACCTACTCTGTGGGGTGACACCTCCTTCTTTTTTCGTCCCTTAGCCAGTCTCTCATTCTCATTCTCATGCTCAGTTTTGCACCTCTCTATATCTCTTCAGTAGTTTATGAATTAAAAAAAAATTTTAACTTACGTATTTCCATTGTTACTGTGTTTGGCATATCGAATACACCACGGGGAGCTTGCCAGGCTCTGCCATGTGGGCGAGATACTCTCGGTAGCTTGCTGGGCTCTCCGAGAGGGGCGGAGGAATCAAACTCGGGTCGGCCGTGTTGGCTGCGTGCAAGGCAAACGCCCTACCGCTGTGCTATCGCTCCAGCCCAATGGAGATGTTACTGGGCCTGCTCGAGCAAATCGACGAACAACAGGAGGGCCTTTACCTTTACCTTTACCTTTACCTTTATGTATTTCCATTACCTGGCATAGTGACTCTTTACTGACAAGTGAATTAGCTAAATTTTAGAATATTTATTATAGTATTAAATACATATTACTTTTCAAACCCTATTTTTTTTTCTTTTTGGGTCACACCCAGCGATGCTCAGGGGTTATTCCTGGCTCATGCACTCAGGAATTACTCCTGGCGGTGCTTGGGGAACCATATGGGATGCTGGGAATCGAACCTACGTTGGCCATGTTGGCTGCGTGCAAGGCAAATGCCCTACCCGCTGTGCTAGCGCTCCAGCCCCTCAAACCCTATTTTTAAAATTATATACTATATAATTTTGTTTACTGTGTAATGAAAATATCGATGAATATTCTCTTTTAAGTATTAATTTTAAAGCATTTCTTCCCCTGTAAATATTTATGTCTCTTTCAGGGAAAAGGATCAGAACAACTCTCTGAAAATAGTAAAATACTAATTTCCATGGCTAAGGAAAACATACCACCAAACAATCAACAGACCAAGGGTTCCTTAGGTAAGTCATTAGGTGAGCTAAATTGATTTTAAGATATTTTTAGCATGCCCTTGTGAAGGAGCTTTGTCTTGTCAAAAAGAAAAAATATTTTTCCAAGTTCTTTGTGATGATACTGTGTAAATGTAAGTAAACATACTTTGTGATGATAAAGTTTTTTGTGATGATACTCAGGGACTGTTTCTGTCATGGTGCCTGGGGATGGCTCTTGGAGGTAATTGGGGGTCCATGTAGTATGAGAATCAAAATAGGCCTCTTGCATACAAAGCGTATGCGCTAACCCTTTGAGATATCTCCCCAGCTCAGTATAATCTGTCACTGTCACTGTCCTCCTGTTGTTCAACAGTTTGCTTGAGCAGGCCCAGTAACATTGTGAGACTGGTTGTTACTGTTTTTGGCATATCGAATACTTCACGGGGAGCTTGCCTGGCTTTGCTGAATGGGCGAGATACTCTCGGTAGCTTGCTGGGCTCTCCGAGAGGGGCGGAGGAATCGAACTTGGGTTGGCCCATGTTGGCTGCATGCAAGGCAAATGCCCTGCCCGCTGTGCTATCGCTCCAGCCCTAAAATAAACATTTTAAAACAGTAAAAAAAATGCACATATGGTATATAAATATGTACATAACTTAATTTGAAGAGCATATCGTGTGTTTTGATAAATGTATTCACTGTAATGTTACATCTCTAGCAAAATCTTTAAGAACTAGTTCTTCACCAAAAGATAAGGTAAAAGGCAGCTATATTTATATGTATGGTAATATAGATGTGTTTGTATATGCACACAAAAATACATATAAAAATACATATAAAATCTCCAAAAAATACATTCCAATTTAAAAAATAGGCGGAATAATGGGATAGCATTTCACAGAAGTGAAAATTCAAATGAGCGTTTGAAAAGGTGTTCAGCATTAACAGTTATTAAGAAAATACAAATGCATGCTTTGCTTGCAGGAGACCCAGGTTTGATCCTCAGCATTACATGATCCCTGCAATATCATCAAGAGCAACCCCTGGGTATAGAGCCTGGAATAACTTTTATCACTGGGTATTGCCCAAAAAACAAAAACAAACAAAAATATACAGATACCCTGGCATGTAGTATAATATATTATTATATTTAAAGGACTTACTAAGAGTAGTCAGAGATGTATATCATCTGTAACTTCTTTGCTGGTAAGAATGTTTACTGTACAACTTTGAAAAATTGTCAGCATGGGGGCTGGAGCGATAGCACAGTGGGTAGGGCATTTGCCCTTCACGTTGCCAACCTGGGTTCGATTCCCAGCATCCCATATGGTCTCCCAAGCACCGATAGGAGTAATTCCTGAGTGCAGAGCCAGGAGTAATCCCTGAGCATCGCCAGGTGTTACCCAAAAAAGCAAAAAAATAAAAAACATTGTCAGTATCTACTAAATAAATGCACTGTGACCTTATTCAGTGACCAAGCAATTCCACATTCCATAAACACATGGTTACACGTATATTTTCACCAAGTGACATGTACAGGAATGTCTATAGTTTTGTTCCTGTCCCTCTGGATCTTCCCAAACAGAAGGAAATAGTTGAAGTATCTGTGAGGTATAATGGATACAGAAACAGTGTGACTTGATGGCCACCATTGCAAGAGGTAGAGGCCATGGTTCGTTGTGGTTCAGATCCAGGGCTTCACGCATGCATGGCAAATACTCTATTAAGTGAGTCACATTCTCATCACTGAGGGCCCAAACCTGACTGTCCAATGGCCTCTGTGGATGGCAGCCACTGAGTCGCCAAGAGGGAGCAGGTGGAGGGACAGCACCCTTTTCCCCCCTGGGGTGGCTCGGTGCCAGTAACCTACTGTGGGGACTGGATGCATTTTTGCCAAAAGCCACTGGGTTCCGAGATTTGTTTCTGAGTCTCTGGGATCATGGCCATTAAGCAGTTTGGTCAGGAACTAGAGAGGCCTTGCCTCCAATTATATAGCCGAGCCAGAGGTGGTTTGTGGGAGTGTGTCCCACATATCTAAGTTTTGGCCTCTACTTTCTTGGTAAACTTGGCCCCAAGTTGTTGGGGTGTGGCCAGAGGCACAGCATCATCATCCTTGCAACATTACTGACTTTTTCTCCTTGACATAACAGAGAATACATTGTGATCCTATGTAACTAGAAATTTTGCTTACTAGTTACTATGTGTCCTTGCTCACTGCAATTAGGCTACTCATAGTAGAAATGACATAGTAAGAATAGTGTGTTATTTTCCAACTTTCTCTTCTTCCTTTCACTTACTAAGGCATTTTTCAGTGACACATTCATTCAGGGAACGTTTCTTCGATACAGATTTGTGTGCCAGCCATTTTAAAGTTGAGTAAATTATGACCTAGCACTCACGGAGTATAGAGTCTATTTTCATATGTGATACTCCACTCAAGGTGAGAATCAAAACTATTTCTCTGTTTAGGAATAAATTATGTACCTTAAAAATAATAAAATTTAGGATTGTTTATTTGTTTGAGGAGAGAGTGAAATTTAAAATTCAAGCACAGAGAATACATTTGATTATTTTGGAAGGGAATTAGGAGCATGACTGAGAAGTGTCCATAAGGAATCTACTATATATAGCCCTTTTAAGTCTAGGAGTCAAATATTCCTTATATGTTTATCAAGAGAATTCAATTCTACAATATTTTCAGTGAAAAGTAGAATTTAGTATTTATAAAAATCAGTAGATTTGTTTATATTACTTTGACCTTGGGCTGGAGCGATAGCACAGTGGGTAGGGTGCCTTGCATGCGGCCGACCCGGGTTCGATTCCTTTGCCCCTCTTGGAGAGCCTGGCAAGCTACCGAGAGTATCTCGCCTGCACGGCAAAGCCTGGCAAGCTACTCGTGACATACTTGATGTGCCAAAAACAATTTGTTGTGAGACTTTACTGGATCCCATTCGAGCAAATCGATGAACAGCAGAAGGACGGTGAAGTGACAGTGCAGTGCTACTTTGACCTTTGCCCACCTGAAATATTTCAGTGATTAGGTAGTAATTTGATGCTTAAGTTTCCATCCTTTAGCTGCACCATGAGGAAGAAGACACAAAAATAGCAATACCCTTATCACTTTATAAGCTGCTGGTATTAGTTCATTTATATCCCTCAAATAACTAAATCTTCAAAATCTTTTTTAGAAAAAAATTAATACTGCATGTGATAGGACTAAGAGGGAAAGGGACTTAAGAAACTGAATACTCACTTGATATCTGTGTTTCTTGACATTGTTTTATTATTAAAATATTTGAGAAATATCTACCCTTGTTTTTAATAGCTTTATTGTGGTATAACTTCTGTATTGTAAATATTTTCCATTTCAGTTGTCTACATAAATATTATCGACTACAATTCATTGTTTTTTTATTTATTTATAAGGTGTGCAGCAGTGCAGTTGTTAAAGTAAAGTAAAGATCCTCCCGTTGATCATCGATTTGCTTGAGTGGGCCCAGTAATGTCTCCATTGGACACTTTGTTGTTACTGTGTCTGGCATATCGAATACGTCACAGAGAACTTGCCAGGTTCTGCCGTGCGGGCAAGATACTCTCGGTATCTTGCCGGGCTCTCCGAGAGGGGCGGAGGAATCGAACTCGGGTCGGCCATGTTGGCTGCGTGCAAGGCAAATGCCCTACCGCTGTGCTATTGCTCCAGCCCTCGGCCTTTTGGCTAAGATCAAGTGCAGTTATTATCGCCTCCAAACAATTTTTTTGTACTCTTAAAAAGAAACTACTTGAAGTTGAAATATCTCTTATAAACATCTAGCTAAAGTTTCTATTTGTGATGATAAATCATAGAAATGGATAAAGGTGAGGCTTAAAACATTGCCCGTCTATGTAATGACATTGAATTTGCTGTTACAGTGGTAAATTTTGTTATGTTATATTTTATTACAATGAAAATGAACAATTTCTTTGAAATTAAAATTGGTGATTCAACTTTCAAAGTATTTGGAAATTTCAGGCCCAGCCATGAATAAACCTATTATATAGGTATGTGTGTATAATTTTTTTTTTTTTTTTGTGCCACAACAGGTCCGAGCTTTTATTCCTGGCTCTGCACTCAGGAATAACTCCTGGTGGTGCTTTGGGGACCATATGGGATGTTGGGGATTGAACTCAGGCCAGCTGCTTGCAAGGCAAGCGTTGTACACAGTGTACTCTCTCTCCAGCTCCCAGGCCTATTAATTTTTAATAAACTTGTTATAACAAAGATAATCTTATATATTAAAAACTTTATACACTCAAAACCTTTCCACAGAAAAACAAACACATCAGAATTATTTTTGGTGTTTTATTTTTTTAGATAAATTTTAATAGAATTAAGTGAAAGCATAATTGGCTTGGTTTTAATTTTGCTATCCTTAATAAAACAAGACAAATGCAGAAATGTCTGTCTTAAGAGGAAATCACACACTTATAAAGACATATCATAGTATATAAGTATCTTTTTACAAAAAACTGAATGAATAAATCATCAAATATTGTAATATAGAATATAGGGGAAAGATTCCCTCAACACCCTCAAACCAACTATATATCTCATGCACCTTATGTTATTTCATGATCAAAGGACCTTTGATCAACCTATGCACCTAATTTTTGATCCCTAGTACCACATATAGTCACCCTAGCTTGCCAGGAGTGATTCCTGATTTCAGAGCCAGGAATAAGCCCTAAGTAATATTTCCCCTAGCCCCCACCAAAAAACAAAACAAAACAGTAGCAAAACAGCAGCAACAACAGCAACAAAGAGTGACCAGAAGCACATAATGTTATGTGCTTATGGAGAGGTAGGTTGGCACTCCAGCCAAACTTTGATGAGATGAAAATCCAAAGAAGCATGAACTATAGACCAAGTGGGGAGATAAAGAACTTTGGGCGTGGTTACTCAAGCTCCCAGGATTTTTGTGAGCTTCTTCACTAAGTAGGTGGATGCCTGAAACAAAGTACTATTACATGACTCTCAGCTCTGGCAATTTTACAGTCAGCATGGCAGGCTGAATTTTCTCCCTGTATAATAAAGATCTGTCTTCAGTGATATGCCACAGTAGTCTAAGCCACTCCAGGGTTTCTCAGCCTTTTCTCACCCATGGTCCCCTTCTGTTTTTTCCTTCCTATGGTCTCCCTGTCTTATCAATTGTCCCCTAATTTTCATTCTGTGCCCCCTCTTCTCCATACTTGTGGTTCCATTGTACCATCTGGAAGACCCACAGGAGACCCTGGTGAGAAATGCAAGTCTAAACCATGGGAAATGCACCCTACAGCTAGTGCTCTGCAGAGAAAGTTCCGAGGGTGCATTGGCTGTGATTTAAGAAAGGAAAGGCTTTGGAGACTCTGGGGACATGCAACTATTTAGAGCTCTAATGTATTTTTTCATAAAGGAAAGTTCCACATGGGCAGCCAAGATTCAGTGCTGTGACCTGATATAAAATCGCAGCACTTTTAGCAAATATAGTGTGGAAAATGAAACCCATCCCTCCTGTTTTTACACCTCCACCATTAAGCCACACCCCTCAAGCCCCAGAATCAAACTTAATGATGAACAAAGTAGGATCAAAGGAGGATGCCTAGAACGTAACACATTTATTTTTGGGAGTTTTGGGCCATAAGGATCATTTCTGGTGATGCTCAGGGTTCGTATGCAGTGCCATTCCGGGAGTTCAACTTGGAAATCAATCACCTTAACTCCTGTACTATCTCTCTAGACCATGGATAATAACTATGAGGAAAATAACAAGATTCTGTAAGTGAATAATAGAAAACCAAAAAAATAAGAAATGAAGGGGTATAAGGAGTTTTTTTTAATCAAAGATATTGAAGCTTGTAGGTTCTAGGGGATAGGGCTATGCCATAACTGGTAGAATCCCAAATTCCATCCTTGGCACTGTGTGGCATCTCAGTCTTGCCAGGTATAGCCCTAGTAGTCCTTGAGTCACACTACATGATCCTTTCAGGGTCTCTGAAAACCACTAGGGTGACTTTGGTAGCAACTGAGTTCAGATCTATCAGACTTAAACGTTTGCTGGAGTGATCTTGCCTCTTTTTTTAAATTTTACTTTTATTATAATTTTATAAAGTAGTTCACAATATTTGATTACATTTATTATTCGAACACCAATCCCACCATTATACTTTCCAACCACCATATGTGGATGTTTCTATCCAGAAGCTCAACCCCTTTCCCAAAGCGGAACCGAAATAATTTATTTTGTATTGTTTGTTATGAATAAACCAGTGAAAATGCTCCAAAAAACTTTCCTTAGAGGAGAGTGTGTGAAGATCGTATTTCACCCAAAAGCCATTAAGTCCTTCTAAAAAAGATCACGAACATGTTGTTAAAGGTTGAACCTTGGGACTGGGGTGATAGCACTGTATGTAGGGTGTTTGTGTTGCATGTGGCTGACCCGGGTTTGATTCCCAGCATCCCATATGGTCCCCTGAGCACCGCCAGGGGTAATTCCTGAGTGCAGAGCCAGGAGTAATCCCTGTGCATCGCTGGGTGTGACCCAAAAAGGAAAAAAAAAGGTTGAGCCTTGTGTGCTTATATCTATATCCGTAAAAATATATTTCCCTCTAAGATAGGTTGCCTTCTACTTTAAGCCCCATCAAATGTGGTGTGCTACTTTTGGAGTATGAGTGGTGTGAAGTGTGAGATGTCCAGGGATAGATTTATTCATGAGTATGGGTAAGACTTGGCCCGAGCATGTGGAGAGTGACCAGAAGTATGGTGGAGCTTGAGTTCTGGAGGTTTTTGGCTTCCAGGGCTGGGTCCCTTGGGACCTCATCTACCCCCCTTGGGGGCACCTCGAGTGAAACAGCTTGGCACGGGGTCGAGGCAGTATGACTGTGGCAGTGTTGTGCTATGCTCTCTTCCTAAAGAGAAGGACAATGAGTCTCTGGATCATGGTCATTGATGAGTTTATCTGGGGCCAGCCAGAGGTGGCTTGTGGGTGTGACTGCCGAGTTGCCGGAAATGTGGGAAACATGGGGGGAAATCTCCAGACAACATAGTTTTTGCTAAGGGAAAAAGTGAAAAAGTGAAAGTCAATTATTATTACTTTTGTTTTTTTGGCCCTTCTCAGAGTTTTGTTTTTATTTTATTTTTTAAATTTTTTAAATTAATTATTTATTGAATCACCAGGCTGGAGCAATAGCACAGCTAGCAGGGTGTTTGCCTTGCAAGCCACCAACATGGCCGACCCGAATTCGATTCCTCTGCCCCTCTCGGAGAGCCCGGCAAGCTACCGAGAGTATCTTGCTCACACAGCAAAGCCTGGCAAGCTACTCGTGATGTATTCGATATGCCAAATACAGTAACAGTTGTACAATGGAGATATTACTGGGCCTGCTCTAGCAAATCGATGAACAACGGGAGGACAGTGACAGTTACAGTGATTGAATCACCGTGAGAACAAGTCACAAAGCCTTTCAGTTCAAGTCTCGGTCGGTCATACAATGATCAAACACCCGTCCCTTCACCAGTGTACATTTTCCACCACCAAGAACCCAGTATACCCCCCTCCCACCTATCCCCTGCCTGTATGGCAGATTTCCACTTTATTCTCTCTCTCTACGTTGATCACATTCAATATTATGACAAAAGACCCAACATTGTTATTTGGAATTTTCCCCACCTTTCAGATCTGCCACAGAGACATCATTAGATAATTTGTTTTTTATTGCTGATTATGAAGAGCATATGATGTCGTGTGGCCACAGTAGTGGCCACGTGAATTTGGATTTCTGATATTTTAGTAATAAACCTAGAGGGATTACTACCAGGAGCCCCTGGGGTCCGAGAGTGGTGTTTGTGTCTCTGGGTTCATGGTCGGTCAGAAGCTGGAGGAGGAGTTTGAGGGTGGCAACGTGGAGCATTGTCATGGCGGGGAGCATGACTGATTCCACCCCCCACCCCATGAAACTGCACGTGCCTCGTCAGTGTAGTCTCATACCTGTCTGTTCATTAGGCTCTAAAAGATGCAGGCCACCATACCGCAGCTGCAAAGGGGAACAGGCGGAGGGACAGACACCCTTCCCCTCCCAGGGTGGCATAGCACCATAGTTAAATACACAGTCCAGATGCATTTTGATTGGGCATTTCTTTTTTTTTTTTTTTTGCCTTTTTGGTCACACCCGGCGATACACAGGGGTTACTCCTGGCTCTTCACTCAGGAATTACTCCTGGTGGTGCTGGGGGACCATATGGGATGCTGGGAATCAAACTCAGGTCAGCCGCGTGCAAGGCAAATACCCTACCCGCTGTGCTATCGCTCCAGCCCCTGGGCATTATATTTCGCTCAGATTTTCCCATCACCATTCAAGCCTATTTTTCAGGAACAAATGGTAGATCATTTATTTTCCATTGATCACTTTGCATATCAGGAAATGCCCATAGAATTCTCCGGGAGTTGTGGAGCCCTCCAGCCGGTTTTTTTCTTTGCTGCAGTGTGCTGTAAGATGGCGCTGTGGGCAGGTTGTGGGCATGACTTCCGGAATCAGAGGTTGCCTGGGAGCTGGGGTGGCCCTGTTGCAGTTTGGAAAATAGTTCTGGTACCCGCATGCCAGAGCCATGCTTGTAGAAGCTCATGGTCACTGGGATTCCATCTGGAGAAGACGTGAAAGTCAATTTATTATAAGCTTTTCACTTATGTCAAGTATAAATAAACTGGCAAAGTATAAAAAATAACTCATAGATTCTGAGAAACATTGTGATACCAGAGAGAAAGGATAAGTAATGGTAGGAATGGGTAAAGAGTTAATTTTGATTGTATGATGGCTCACAATCAAATTTATGATGGAAAAATTAATTATTATGTACTTAACATCAGTATGAAGTGATACTTCAGAAATATTTTACTATTGGGAAAAAATCCTAGAGACAAAAAAGTAATGGTAATGATAGTTATTTGTGTAGGAGGACAGGTTGGGTAGAGGCATTATTTTGTATTATATTGCCATTACCCATAGAAACTTTAAAAAAAATTCCTTTTTTTTTTGTATTTGAGATGATTGGGGGTTGTGTGCATTTAGTTGTGGTGCGCCTCAGTTTTAATTGTATGCTAACCAGGGATTGTATACTTGACTATAGTGCTAACAATACTCAGTTACAGTTTCTCCACACATTTTTTTGTTGTTTTCATATCCTTGATTGTGGTATACCAGAGATCCCTAAGAGCAGAGCTTCTGGGATCATACTTAGTCCAATAAGATAGTCCCAGGGATCAAATTCTGACAACTTCACTAGACTCATGTTTACATAGCAAACATATCATACTCTGCTGCTGAGATGTCATCCCCAGGCCCACTGAGAAACATTTTTTGAAATGGTGAGGCTTTGGGGCGCCATATCGAGTGATGCTGGGAGCTACTCCCAGAGCTGTGCTCAGACTTTACTCTTGGTGGTGCTTGGGGGCGACCATGTGGTGCTGGGGATCAAATGGTGTCAGCTGCATGCAAGACAAGGACCTTAACCTCTTTATTACCTCCTTTCCTTATGAAAAATTTAAATAATGTCGAAAATAGCCAGCTTCAGGTCTCAGAACTAACATGAGCATGCTCCTTCTCATTGTGCTTTGTTATAGGAATTGAATTAAAATTGAAGTTGGAGATTTTTCTTGCACACACTCATATATGCATGTACTCACAACCACGGTTAGTTTGCGAATAAGCTACATTAATAAGAATTTGTTTTCTTTCTAGGAATCAATTATGGATTAAGTTTACCACTTGGAGAAGACTATGAGCAGAAGAAACATAAATTAAAAGAAGAACTGCGGCAAGATTATAGACGTTATCTTACTCAGGTAATTAAATGTATTAGTTGGATGTTATGCATGAGAATTGAATAATTGAATTTTAAATTTGTTTTCCTATGGTTTAGTTATATTAAGTTTTAGATTTTCAGTTTTATCTAGAAATGGAATATTAGAAAATATGTTTTTTAGACATAGTGGCTTGGAATATTACAGACTCAACTAGAGTAGGGCAGGGAGTTTAAATTTCATGTTGATTTTTTTTTTTTGGCGGGAGTTCTTTATTTAAATTTTACTTTTTCTCTTTGGGATTTAATTTTAAATGAGATTATAAATTCTGGTCGTTCGTGTTTTCTGTAAATTTATTATAATGTAATGTAGCTCAGTTATGACTTAGTAGTCTGTTCCCTCTGACATACATTAAAATGACATATGTGGACTTACATATGCTAATTATTTTCTTATGAGCCTAGCCAATAAAAGTTTCATTAATTATTTAACCTTTGAAATATTTGACTTATGATTTAATAAAGTATTGCTTTAGTGCTTAAAAATTATTTTACATAATTATGATTTTAAATAATCATGCATTACATCCCAAGCTCATCTTTAGCTCTTTACTACTTTACGCTTATTTTAAATATTTAATGGTCTCTTGTTTATTATGATTTATACATGAAGAGAAAGAATTTTGAATACATTTTATCAACAGTTTTTTCCCCTTGACTTTAGGGAATTGCACAAGCAAAAAGAAAGGTAGGGTTGCCTGCCTTCTCTTTTAGCTTTGTTTTTTAGATCTAGTAGCTTGTAATAATTAATTGTTGCTCTCAATCCAATATAAAAAATGGTTTTATTTGTGATCTTGAAGCTTTTGAATACTTTTATTTTATATCTGTTTTTTTTTGCAAAATGAATTTATATTATAATTTTTATAGCTATAATCCAGTCTTTAATTCCTGCATTGCATTTGTTTTTGTTGTTTTTTTATGCCTCAATAAACATTATGTTGCTATTTTTAAATTCATTTTTCAGCATGCCATGTTTTCTTCTTTAAATTACATTAATCACATTAGAATTAACGTAGTAGTAAAATATTGAGATGTGTTTAAATGATTTATTGTCACTATTTGAATTGCTCAATATCTTTGTACCAAAACTTGAGGATTACTTTTGTGAATGTTGTTTTTTTTTCTCTTTTTTGGGGGGTGAGGTCTCCCAAAAAGTGCTCAGGGTCTGTATGGGCTACTCTTGCCATACTCAGCAAACCAGGCTGGATCGCTCAATGTTTGGTTCAGTGATGGCATCTTGCTCAGCCCCGAGGTGCTGGAAACCACAGGGAAACCTTGATTGTGCCTGTGGAAGCAGGGCATTTAGTGCCAAGGACCTTGAACACATCTATGACCATTGAGCTTTCTTGGGCTCCAAAGAGGGACAGCTTTCTACTTTCATTAAACTTCCTTCAAAAATTATCTTATACAGCCATTTATCATTCAACTAACACTTTAAAATCACTTTTGAAGATGTATTATGTCTGAATCTTGTGTTAAAGAGCTTAGAATTTCATGTGGTGCTAGCATCCATAAACATTTAAGAAATGATAATTCTAACAAGGAGGATAAAATGATCAGAAAAGGGGGGTTGGAGAGACATACAGTGGGTAGGACACTTGCCTTTTATGCTATCATCCTGGTTTTGATCCCCAAGCCCCTTACAGGAGTGAACCCTGAGTGCAGAGCCAGGAATGAGCTCTGAGCACTGCTGGGTGTGACCTAAAGACAAAAACAAAATGATCAGAAATGGTGTATTTTTTTTCTTTTTTGGACCACATGCAGAGCTTACTCCTGGTTCTGCACTCAAGGATTACCTGGAGCTGGGCTCAAGGAACCACATGTGGTTTGGGGAACTTGGATTGACTGCGTGCAAGGCCTTTCTTTATCCACTGTAATTTCTAGGCCCATGATAGGTGCTATTTTGTAAAGGTGAAATAGGATTGGGATATTGTAGTGGTCCACTTCAATATCCAAGGTCGATATTAAAGAGGGCAAGTTACATATGGAGAATTTGTAATGAAGAAGGATTGGATAATAGGTAGATTTCTACTTTGTATATTAGGTTTCCCAGTTTAACAGCCTGATACATTTGTTTCACCGTATCAGGTGTACCAGCTTGGCTGGGTTAGGACAGATTCTTTTTGAGAGTAAGAAATAATAAAGTTAATAGATATAGGAGAGGGTCAGATTGGAAAGCAGATTTTTAACTTGCTATGTGTGATAGGAAGTGGTGAATACTTTACCTCTTTAAGCAATCTGTGAGGAACTTGAAAACTGTATTTCAGAACAGTTAGTTCTGCATATTCGAGTCTTTTATCTTCCTGTCCTAACTAAATGTTGCAGATATTAAACAGAGCTCCTTCCACTATGGTAATTTTCAGTGTGTTTTACATGATACTTTCCAGAATGATTCTATTTCTTACTGTGTGTAAATACTTCAATTTCCATTTATCTGCCTGCAGGATAAAAATTCAGACTCTCTTCTCTTCCTCTTTCTTGTTTTATTACTCATCCTTCTTTAATTATTCCCTGGTCTTGGACCTCAGTGTGCTCCCATCCCCCTAATGTTTCTTATGGAGTGAGATGTCCCTTTTATATGAACCATTTTCCCATTTATTTATAAATCGTAGGGGGAGAATTCAAAACACATATTAGTAGGAAGTAAAGGAAGCAATTGCTGTGCCATAGAGATAGTACAGGAAATAAGACTTGCCTTGAATATGACTGGCACTAGTTTGATTACCAGCACTGTATATGATCTGAACACCTTTAGGGGCCACTCCTGAGCACAGAGCCAGGAATATTTTGAGTACAGCTTGCTGTGGCCCAAAAATCTAAAAAATAAAACTAAATAAAATAAGATGGGAAAAAGAAATTGCTGCTGTAACAAGAAGATCAAGTATTTAAATTCAGAGACACTCGAAGGAATTTTAGTGTTGTATTATCATTGATATAGTTTTAGAGAAGTGGTACTTGTTAATATGAAAGACAGTTTGGTGTTGGTATTAGAAGATGGAAATGGAAATAAAAAGCAATGGAAAATGGAAATTATGTAGAATATAGTGGCTGCAATGGTTTTATTGACTCCTGCAATAAGGACACTTTCTAGGTTCCAGTCTCTAGATTTATTGTGGCTTCTCGATGTTGAAGTGCCTAAAATTAAAAAGAGTTTGCAAAGAAAAGCCATTAAAAAGTAAAGCCACTATCTTTCCTGTGTTTTTAGAATAGGACACTTCACATTATAAGAATGCAAGATTGACATTTTCTCGGAGACTTTCAGCTTGATATTTTTACCTCTCTCCTGGTCTGGAGCCATAGCACAGTGGTAGGGCATTTGCTTTGCAAGCCACCGCCCCGGCCGAGCTGGGTTAAATTCCTCTGCCCCTCTTGGAAAGCCCGGCAAGCTACCGAGAGTATCTCGCCCGCGCAGCAAAGCCTGGCAAGCTACCCGTGACGTATTCGATATGCCAAACACAGTAACAACAAGTCTCACAATGGAGACGTTATTGGGCTTGCTTGAGCAAATTGATGAACAACGGGAGAATAGTGCTACAGTGCTACCTCTCTCCTGAACTCAGTAAAATAAAAATTTAGCTGCCTATCTGACATTTTCACTTAGGAATATAATTATATTGATACCTCATGTTGAATATATCCAAAGGGAAAGGAAGCTCCATAATTCCATTTTTCTTACTTTGGTACCCTATTCTTTAGACTTCTTTTTGTTTGGTTGGGTTTTTGGTTTTTTTTCCTTTTTGTTTTGTTGGTAATCTGCTATGTAGTTACTCTTCACTATATTTACTACTTCAGTTTCCCTTGCTTGAATATAAGTTTTGGGAATGCAGGTATTTTGTATGTTTTCTTCATTGATAAGTCCCAAATGTATCAGTTTGGGACATAGTAGACCCTCAGTATTTATTGAATAGATGAACAAGTGAGTAGGATTAAAATTTTTTTTTTTTTTTTTGCTTTTTGGGTCACACCCGGCGATGCTCAGGGGTTACTCCTGGCTCATGCACTCAGGAATCACTCCTGGCGGTGCTCGGGGGACCATATGGGATGCTGGGAATCGAATCTGTGTTGGCCATGTTGGCTGCGTGCAAGGCAAACGCCCTACCTGCTGTGCTATTGCTCCAGCCCAGGATTAAAATTTTTTAAAAAATCTCAGTATTGTTATTATGATTTAAATTTTCCATTTTATTGATAACTTCAAACTTGATCCTGGACTTGTTTTGGGAGAAGGGAATTATCCTGTGAAATCTGAGAGGATAGGTTATCTTTTTTCAGGTGCATATATGCTACGCAGTGATTAGGTTTTTTGTAGTCTTAGGTGTATGGAGATATAGTTGTGGCATATGTTTTCCCTTCACAAATAAACTTACTTTTTAAAATTTATTTTTTATTTTTAATTCACCATGAGAATACAAGTTTACATTTATAACATAAATTAAGTTACTAAATTAGTAAACTTAAATTCATAACCTTAGACTGAAACTATTAGTCATTTAGTTCATATTAGTCACTTGTTTCCATAGTGTTACATTTTTATACATTATTATATTGTAGTTATTTATATACATGATTATTTCCCCAACTGAATTGTAAATCTTTTGAGTATAGGGAAATGATGCTTTGACTCCCTACCACCAAAAAAAGTAACTACCTGGAAGGCATTAGATGGTCAATAATTACTTATTTAAGAATAACTAAAAGGTTGGGAGCCAGTAGTACAGTGGGTAAGGTACTTTCCTTGTACATGTACCAATCCTGGTACATGGCCAATCCTGGTTTGATCCCAGGTACCACATATGGTCTTCCCTGAGCACACAACCAGGAGTAAGCCCTGAGAATCACCAGGTGTGGCCCAGAAACTCCCCTATCCCTCAACAAAAAGAAGATATGGAGATGGAAATATTAATAAGTACAAATCGTCTTAATACTAATTAACCCAGTGATGTATATGGAATTATCCTTACTTCACAGACCAGGAAGCCAAGCAGAGAATTTAAGTTACTTGCTCCAGATTATGTAGATTGCTAAGTATCAGTACAGAAAAGTTAGGCATTGTGTGCGTCATCTAGCAGCAATAGATAGTTATGTATTGCAAATGAAAATTAAGGCTTATTCTTCTCTTTAGGGAGATGTTTATTGAAAGAAAATGATCATTTTCTAATTATTTTTTGTATGGTCTCTGGAGTTGTCATTTTCTGTTATCCATCTCATTCTTTTGCTCTGCTTATTGTAATTGTGTAAAATGTAGAATGTGAAGACATACTTGTAAAATATTTTATGAAAACAATTAGTAATATATTTTCTTAATATGTACAGAAAAATTTTCTATCCACGAGTGAAATAGATCCGTCTACTTTGGGAGTTTCTCTTCCTATTGATGAAAGATTATCTGCCAAGGTATGTGTATAGAAAATTATAATGAATAGCGATAGTATGAGACATCAAAGTCATGACTAAAACATGTTTCGGCTCTAAATGAAAGTAGAAGATAATATTATTTTCCATATTTGAATTCTTCAAAGTTTTGTGTAGTCTATAAATTGTGCTGTTAAATTTCTTTTTGAATATTACATTTATGATATGTTGATTATCAAATATTTGGAATTCAGTCTTTTCAGTATTGGTTTCTGAGATGTTGAGTATATGTTCTGTTTCAAAGTAATAATCTTTGACATATATGAAGAGTAGATGAGATATCCTAAGCTTCGTATGTAGGGTAAGGATCTAGAGTTACTTGAATGTGTGTTTCTGTTGTTTTGCAAAACATGTACATACTTTTTTCGAGATAAGCACTAGCATCTTAAAGGTGTGTCATGAGCCTATTAATGAATGTGGGGCCACATGATAAAATGTTTCTGTTCACACAATGATCAAAAGTTAATTCACAGTCAAATACAATGAAGTTGAGGTGTTTCTTGCAGTATTTTGCCCAAGTTGCATTTCTTGGATGAAAAGTGGTCACAGTGAAAAGAAAATGTTTAACTAGTCCTGACTTAGGCTATATAACTTGTGAACGAAGATTCTTCACAAGTGAAGTAGGTTCCATCCATTAGGGACCTCATTTATTGATCTGGATCTGAGAATGTAGTGATGCATATTGTAATGTGATAAATCACACATTGATGGTCTTTGACCTCTTTACATGTCTTCTATTATTTCTGAAATAATAAAGCTTAAATTTAAATATGATTTCTGTATGAGTCTAATTTGACATTAAGGTATATACCTTTTTCTGAAGTTGAAATTCACATTGCCTTATGATTTGTGTTTTAAGGAAAGGTTGAAACTTGAACGCAACAAAGAATACAACCAATTTCTCAGGGGTAAGGAAGAAACCATTGAAAAATTCAGAGATATAGAGAAGACTATTGAGGTAGGTTTTACCTTTAAAGTAATCTTTAAAACTAAAGCCTGCGTATTGTGTACTTAAGTAAGTAAGTAAGTAAAGGCCCTCCCGTTGATCGTCGATTTGCTCGAGCGGGCCCAGTAACGTCTCCATTGGAGACTTTGTTGTTACTGTGTCTGGCATATCGAATACTCTCGGTAGCTTGCCGGGCTCTCCGAGAGGGGCGGAGGGATCGAACTCGGGTCGGCCACGTTGACCGCTTGTAAGGCGAACGCCCTACCCGCTGTGCTATCTGTATTAGACATGTCACATTAGACAGTTTTTACGTAAATATTTTAAAAATTAAGCACAAAATCAAATCTAGTACACTTAAGTATCTTGTTGTAAATGACTTTATCTCATTGAAGAACTTGCTTTGCTTATTTAACATTAACTTTATGTGGGAGGTTTATTTTTATGTTTGGTTTTGGAGCCGTATGTAGTGATACTCAGGGGACTACTCCTGGACATTGCCCAGGGGCACTCAACAGTGGTACTTTGGGGACCATATATGATAATGGGAATCAAACAGGTGTTGGCTGCATACAGGACACTCAGTGGTGGTACTTGGGGGACCATATTTGATTGATTGTAACACTGTCTTCCTGTTGTTCATCTATTTGCTCGAGCAGGCACCAGTAACGTCTTACAACAAATTGTGAGACTTTGTTGTTAGTGTTTTTGGCATATCGAATACGTCACGGGTAGCTTGCCAGGCTTTGCTATGTGGGTGAGATAATCTTGGTAGCTTGCCAGGCTCTCTAAGAGGGGTGGAGGAATCGAACCCAGGTCGACTACGTGCAAGGCAAATGCCCTACCTGCTGTGTTATTGCTCCAGCCACCATATGATAATAGGAATCAAACAGGTGTTGGCTGCATACAAGGCAGGCACCTTAACCACTGTACTAGCGCTAGCCCTGAAGTGACATTTTTTAAATATTGAAAGTATATATATATTTTCAGACATAAAGATTATTGAAATAAATAGAAACATTTTAACCACTTCTATATTCTTTGTATTAGAAAGAATTTAATCTGAAATATTTTGAAGCGATATAAAACTGCCAAAACATGTCTGGTATTTTCTGGGATGTGAATTTTCCTTTAGCTTACTGTCTTTCTTTATCGTCACTGTACACATTGCAGTTGACTGTATTTGATAATGGGTTTTATTGAGTGATAACACTTCCTTATGGTTATTTTATAAGGTAAAATATTTTTTATAGGTGATTAATCATAAGAATTGAGGTGATATACTAAATATCACTTGAGGGTTTAGTTAATTTTAAGATGTATGATCTCACTATTTCTTCTTTATCTTTAATTGAACAGTCCAAGAATCAAAGAAATAAAAAGCCTAATAGTCAAGTTAAGCCTGATCTATCTTCACAAATAAAGACATCTTTTGAAAATTTGGAGGGTCCTAGGAGAGAGGTTATAATTCCTTCAGAGGAATATGAAGAGCTTCTAAACCAAAGACGAATAGAGGAGGACCGGTATCGACAACTAGATGATGAAATTGAATTAAGGAATAGAAGAATCAGTAAAAAATCTAATGAAGATCAGGGCATTTCCAATAGAAAACATCAGAGATTTGCCAGCAAGACTGATGCTTCAACTAGAAGATCATATAGGCTGAATGAGGATCATGCTTTTGATAGACAGTATTACAGACCAGACAAAGATCCTGAAGTAAGTGAAGAAATGGACGAGAGGTTTAGATTTGAAAGTGATTTTGATAGAAGATTTTTGAAAATGTATCCAAATGACAGGTATTTATAACTTTATTTATTATCTTTATATAGCTTAATATTTATGTTGTTACTTTTTATTGTTATATTAGGAAGAAAGTTTTGAGTTATGTATTTGATTAAATTTGGGTTGTTCTCAGTTTTAAGGTTTACCATTTTCTTTTTCCCTTTTCATTTTTGGTGCCCCTGCGAGAACAAAGAAAAACTCAAGATGGGAGAAGGAGATCCCATTATACTAAAATTTACATATTGATATTCTACAACCTTTATGTAAAATTAAATGAGAAATAAAATTTCCCAGAGAGGGACAGAAAAAATAGCTGCTATGGCGGAGGAAAAAAAAATAGCTGCTATGTCTCAACTTTGGAAGTAGGTAGAATGAAAACAAACAAAAAACTTTACTGAAGATTTGAGCTGTAGCATAGAAGTGGTTCAGGTGTATAGTTTAAATTCATGCCATCAGTAATGTTCAATAAAATCTGTGAAGCAAGAAACCAAGGTTGTTTCAGAATCATAGTGACCCTAAGGGAGCAAGGGAAAAATTACTCCGCATCAATAACTTCACGTAAAAACCAGGTTGATCGTTGTCTCAATCTCTGATGTTAAAGAGGAAAAATAAGGATATTATAAAATACATTAAATGATATTTTACTTTTAAGGTTTCTATACTCTAAATATACTTATTAACACATTCATTTGCTTTGGGATATTAAGCATTTATTGAAGTATTTTGGAAATTTCCTGATCCTTTTCAGTTCTGGATGATGGTTTTTGTGAAACTGTTATTTCTTAACTGATACAATGGGGTTGTTTTGGAACAGTCTATTAGTGCTTATAACTTTCTGTATTTTAATCTTTTAGATTTGTGCATGAAAATATCTGTTTCAGGGCCTGGAGCAATAGCACAGCAGGTGGTAGGGTGTTTGCCTTGCATGCAGCCAACCCGGGTTCGATTCCCAGCATCCCATGTGGTCCCCTGAGCACCGCCAGGGGTGATTCCTGAGTGCAGAGCCAGGAGTAACCTCTTTGTATCGCTGGGTGTGACCCAAAAAGCAAAAAAAAAAAAAAGAAAATATCTATTTCATATTTGTCATTGACTTGTTACACAGAGGCTTACATCTAAATTTTAAATACTGACACCTGTATTAAAAGTTTTTTTAATATTTTAGAAAATTTTGATGAAAAATATTCTACACTGAGTACTGTTGATTAGTAATAAGCATAGCCTTTACAGGTCTTTTATCTTTTTTTTTTTTTTGGATATTATATTATGCCCACCCTCTTTTAATATTCACTCTGATTTAAGTAATTTGAATAAGTAACTAGAATTTTGCAGTGGTAATTGTAGTCTTTCTGATACAAACCATATTGTTTATACTTAAGAAAATGCTACTAATCATGTTGAAGGAAGTTGAAAGCTGCCCTAATTAAACTGTCAATTGTGGAACTGCAAAAAATTTTGAACTCTTGTTCTGCCGTTGTACATTTAAAAAATTTTGTGCCTTTAAGAGTATAATATATATCATTTACAGCTTTTAAGTCGAATTTCAAGACGTTCGTTGTGATGATTGTTTTTTATTTCTAAAATATTCTATTATTTTTATAATTAAACTTTAGTAATTTTAATAGAAGGACTATCAAATGTGTTTTATCCTAATTATTTGAGGACTTTTTTTATGTATTACATAAACAAAATAAAATATTTCTATGTAATTTTTCCCAAGTCATATTTTAAGAATAGAATAGGATTAGGAGATGTAGTTCTGTGGAGATGGAGCACGTATCTCTCAAGTGTGTGGCCCTTGATTGGATTGCTGATATTGGTAAAAAATGAAAAAAAAAGATTAAGCATGAAGTTGAGTTGGAATAATTTCAATTATACATTTTAAAATTTTGAAAGTATTTCTTCCAACTGTCACTAAACTTGAAAGATAGCTCAGTGGGCTGGAGCACATGCTTTGCAGGCAGGCTGGTTACATTACTGGGACCGTGGCTCTTTTCAAGTGACTCCCAAGCACTGAGCCAGAAGAAGCTCCTGAGCATCATCAGGTGTGGCCCAGAAATGAAAAAATTAATAAAAATAAATTATTAAAATATGGTGCTTCCATTTTGTTAATGCATGAACTCATTTATCTAGATTAGTAGGGTTTTTCATTAATGATTACCTCAATTGAGGTAAAGTTGGATTTCACATTTATAGATTTTTTAATTTCTAGCAAAATAACTTTTTTTACAGTAGTTATTTTACTTAGTTGGCAGAGTGGAAAAAACGACTGGTCAAATATTTGAAACTAATGAAATGTATCTTTTGGTGAAAGTTCTGAAACTAATGAAATGTGTCATATAGTCTGTTGTGCTAACCCTTTATTCTTAATATACTCTAATCTTAACCCAAATTCTTGATATAAGAATTATGATTATGAGATGTACAAAGTTAGTTTTTCTTCATCAATAAGTTTCCCCTTGTTCTTTTTTGTCTTGCAGCAGTCATGTGATAAATTTTAGCTTTGATTGTTAATTATTTTTGAGTGTCACATTTTTGGTCTTATTTATTAATTTAAAAACTTTCACATGTATCATAATATATTTATTAATGAAATTTTTCTCCCACTTCATATAGGAACTGAAGCCTAGAGATAATTTACTTTTCTAAACTTATTATTTCATTGGTAATGTTTTATTGTATATGTATGTGTGTATATGCATATTTTTGATTGCTAGCATCAAGCCTAGAGCTTCATACATATGAGGCCTATATACCTCTGACCTATATCCCTGGTCCCTGAAAGTGACTTTAAGTAGTTAACTTGGTTACCACTTTGCTTGACAGTTTGTTCTGAGTATGTGATTTATTTATATTTAATCATTATTATTTATCTTAAAATATAAAATTTTTTTATCATACTATCAACATACATATTTGCTAACTTGAGTAAAATTTTTAAGTAAACTTGTTAAATGTAATATTTTAGTATCCTAATAATTTGGGGCTTTTTTAAATATAGTCACTGTAATTTTATATTTATTAACTTTAGCTGTAGAATATTCTTATGTTTTACCTTATAACAAATGTTGATGAGTAAAAAGTGTTTAGCATTAAGATGCTATCTTTTATGTGATTAGTGCAGTGAGCATTTCCATTTAACTTCATATTTGCTTGTTTTATAATCTTACTAGTCATTTTATAAAATTATGAAATAACACTTAGTAAATCACAGTCTTGTATGTTAACCATGTTAGAATGATTCTTTTACTTACTAGTATAGAACATTTTAAGAAGTATGTGTACTTAATATTTAAAGATGTACCTGAAGTAAAATGATTTATATAACATGAGTTATAATTTTGTAGTAATTTTAATCTTTTGGTAATTTTTATTTTTCTTTGGGATGGCTATTTTATCATTCTCTTCCTTTAAAGAGTATTGATTAACATTACTATTGAATTAAAGTAAAAATAAAATTTGGTAATTAACTGGAAAATGGTAACAGTTAACAGCTTTGCATTTTTCTTTGAACTTTTATTATCAGTGCTTCCCGGAGTGGATGATACCGCCTCTTATCTCTGGGATAGAGGATGTCACTGGAATGATTCAGGGGTACAGTTGGGTACAGTTTGGCACAGTTTTTTTTTTTTTTCACTTAAAGTAGATTTCCAATGGGATGCTGAGTAATTTTTTTTTTCTAAAAAAGGTTGGTTAAATAAGTTTTGAGATCACTGGGAATATCCCTAGAATCCAATGAATCCATTCACAGAGAAATTCACGCTGGAGAAATTCATGTTGGAGAAATTCATATTGGAGAAATTCTTTTTTTTCTCTTTTTTAAAAAATTTTATTGAATCACTGTGAGATACAGTTACAAAGCTTTCATGTTTGAGATTCAGCCATACAATGATTGAATAGCCATCCTCCACCAGTGCAAATTTCCCACCGCCAATGTCCCCAGTATCCACCCCCCATCCCAGTCCTCATCCTGCTCTATGGCAGACAATTTCCCCAGTACTCTCTCTCTATATATATTGCTTTATATATTGCTCAAATTTTCCCACCACCATTCAAGCCTGCCTGCCAGGGGCAGATGCTGGATAATTTATCTTCCATTGCTCATTTTCAGTATCATGAGAGTTCACATGGCGTACTTCTGGGATCCTAGATTGTGGATGGTTGGATTCCAGAAACATCTTTGTAGGGCACTAGTCCATTTTGGGATTCAGTTGGGAGTCTCTGGACCAGGGCTGTTGGTGCGCCATGATAGTGCCCTATGGAAGCTTCTGGGCGTGACAGCTAGGCCTCAGAGCGGGCGGGGAGCCAGGGAGGAACTGTGGCCTGGAGATTTAGTCCTGGTACCCGTATACCTAGGTCTTGCTTATGGGAACTCTTGGGTGCTGGGATTCCCTCTGGAGAAGGCGGGGAGACTGCACCTGCTCCATCTGGGGTCCCCAGGTGAAATTGGCTCAGTATGGGGCCCAGAGGGATCTCTGGTGCTGTGGTGCCGTTTGGGACTCAGCATTGGTGAAATGCTTGATAGGAAAACACAGTGATGTAACCATTAGTAAGAATTACATTAATTCTTTTATGTAGGCAGAAGATTGTTTCTTTCTCTGTTAGCTGCATGAATATCACCAACAAATGTAACTATTTTATTTTAAAATACTTTATTCTTTTTTTATATGGTTTTGAGACATATTGTCAGTTTTATTTTATTTTAATTGAATCACCAGGAGATGGGCTGGAGCGATAGCACAGCGGGTAGGGTGTTTGCCTTGCACATGGCTGACCTGGGTTTGATTCCTCCATCCCTCTCGGAGAGCCCTGCACGCTACCAAAGAGTATCCTGCCTGCACAGCAGAGCCTGGCCTCCCCGTGGTGTATTTGATATGCCAAACACAGTAACAACAAGTCTCACAATGGAGACATTACTGGTGCCCACTAGAGCAAATTGATGAACAACGGGAGGACAGTGCTACAGTGCACCAGAAGATAAGCAGTTACAAACTTGTTCATGACTGGGTATCAGTCA